GCCAGTAAAGTCATATTATAAAGCAAGTGACTAAATTACCCAAGTGCGCAACTCATGGCCAAGAGTTTTTCTCCCTATAATAGAATAATCACCTTAGTTTGTACTCTTTCAAGTTTTGTCTAGTACCTATTACCTGAACTATATGGGCGATCGTACTACCTAATTGCTCACTCCCTCCACAACTACGTGGGTGCCCGTATTGTATTTGTTTATAAAAATGCAAAACGAAATAAGTATTATTCTGATTGCATTTAGCTTTCACATATATTATCTTTTTTATTTTTTTCTCATTTCATACAGGCCCGAGAGCACTATCGTATATTTTTTAACTCTCAATAAGCGATAACATTATTTTCTCCCAAACTTTCCGAGCGAAACTAAATGTTCGCTTTTCACCAATTAATTATTCTGCAATATTTTCGCGCGTGAGGTGAGTGCCAAGCTCCTGAAGTTTAATCTATCAGGGGTATAATACTCGGCAATGACCATTATTTTCAGAAATAATAAAATTATATTAAGTTTGTCAAAACAAAAAGATGCGGAAAGTTACCTAGAAATTACTCCATTAAATTACTAGACTCCATAGAATTGGTCTTTACATTTATCATATTTCAAGCACTAATTCCGCTTAGAGATTATTCAATATTCAATTCCTAGTAAATTCAATTTTATGTAATTTCCTGAAAAAAAAAATTGTTGTCCTTACGTTCTTCTTATGTAATGTTTGCTACATTCTGGACGATCTTCTGTAGATGGGTTCCATAAAAAGTGTTTTGTATTTTTTTTAATTTTTAACCTGACTTCAAGAAAATAATGGTCGCCAATCTGCACTGCCCGACAGCGCCCACTATCTGTATCTCCGTTGTGTTTTTGTCTGAAACTCTGACATTCCACGGAACCGAATTACGGATGGCCTATTTTGTATGCCGGAACATATTTCAGAGTGAAACGGTGAAACAAAAGTGGGGCTATGTGGAGAATCCTAAAGAGGCAGATTGGTCCCGCAGTTCAGGCGGATACCGCGCGTCTAATTGGATAACTGCTCTTTGTTTTGTTTTTTGACGGTATTATTATACCTAAGCCGGAAAAAAGGATAACACTTTATCTTACTGATATGAAAATTTTCTTTTCTTTTACTTTATAAAATAAATAATTAGAATTTATTTTTTTGTAGCCCCAACAATTTCATCTTTGATCTTATAGTCCCAAACAATAGCAGCGGTGGGGTTAAAGTTATAATTGGACGCATAAAAGTTATACACGCGTAGGCGTGTATGTAGATGTTTATGTAGATAAAGAAGTTAGTAGAAACTTTATGAATAAAATAATACCTACTCGTGTAATGTATTAAATACGAACATCATTTTGTTGTGTGTATAATTTATATACGTCTAATTTATAACTTTATCAGGTATAGTAATTATACCTGATAAAGTTATAAATTAGACGTATATAAATTTTTTAATTATACAGGACACATAATTTTGTTATGAGTCGAAAAGATCAATGATCTTGACCACAATCTGGTGAGATAAGCTGCGCTTTATCTATTTTAATATCTACCGTAATTATCTGTTCTTGGTGAATAAATAACCCTCCTTCTGGCGCAGTCAGGTAATAATCTGTAGTCTTTAAAAATACTTATAACCTTTTTGCTCGCCTGGCTGCTCCCATTATGCTCAGATTTAGGGATGATACACAGCAGTGTTCCGCGGCGGAAATTTAAGAGCTTGACTGTATTCAATCTGCGCCGTGCGGCTCGTAAAGCTTGATATACAATACTCGAGTTTTTACACAATTTGGATCAATTCAGTAGGTTTTCTATGGTAGTCATCCCATTCTACAAGGGTGCCAACTGAATGGCACAATAAAAGCAATGTCAGGCATATTAATTTATGGCGACACTTAGATATCAGGATTGTGACTTCAGTTATACAATAAAAGAAGAAGAATCAAGCCTAATTTCATACTTTTATTAATCACTGCTAAAAATAGTCCTTTAACCGAATGCCTCTAAAATGTGTTTGTTTCTTGAAGGTGTCTTCAGTTCGAAGTAGTCTTCTGTATTCAATTTCATCCAAATGATGAGCCATATCTGAAAAGAAAAAAAGGCAATCGTTATTAAATGAATACTGAATTATGTCACAGTGAAACCGCGAGCGAGTTAGGTAGGGAAAACGAATTTTCGACTACCACTCCTTCTGCTTCTTCTTACGTTGTAATGGAACTGATACCCAGTTACCATTCCAGTGTTAACGACGCATTGCCGCCGTATTTTAAATGCATATTTTATGCAATCATTATTGATGATTATAGCACAATTCATTTCGGAGAACATCGCATTTATTTGGCCAGAAAATATTGTCGTGGGTATTTTGGATTTATACTCGGATTAAAGTGGATTACATCATGGAATGACAAGAAATTGATCTGAAACAGCCACTGCTATTAACGAGGTCTCTTTAGCACGTACTGCATGAGAATGTTTGCTTCAAAATTAGCTATAATGATTTCTAAAACAAATTCCATTCTATGAACATTTCTGTTAGGATAAGTTTTTTTCTTCAAATTTCATTACGTGGTCTTATTTATTTACGTTTGCAAATAAATGTATAGCGTCAATAAGTCATTCTAGATACTCATTGGAAGTAGAGTTGAAGCATTTTTTCTGTATATCTAGTGCATCTATTCTATAGTAAAGAAAACTAAAAGAACTAAAGCTTCGAGTCCCCGGTAACCAACCACTAGACAAAAAGCGGTATCTGAGGATTCCGGGAATTAAGCTTGCTGCTGAGTTGACTCTAAAGGGTTCCTTTTAAGAACAGAATTTACTGGCATAAGGTCAAACTATCTACATTTTACCGAGACTTAAGGAAAGTTAAATATAGAGAGCTACGTTTATTTTCCGTGATAATGCAAATGGAATTCTCAATGATGTTTCATCCTGTCAGGCAACGCTTTGACACAACATTTCTTACTAGTAAATTCTACATTAAAAGATAAATTGTACGTTAATATAGAGCTAAGGCTGAGTTGCACCAACTAACTTTGACAGTAACTTTAACGATAACCGGTGCTTTTTTATGGAATTTGACAGATTTTTAACGTTTGTCAAAGTTAAAGTAAGATGGTGCAACCCAACCTAAGTGTTGTAGTAACTATGGAATATAATAAAACTATGTAGAAAATTTCCGGGCATAAAACCCCAATCGGGGCAGTATTGTGTTGCACATAATAGGCTCGAATCATAACATGTGTAAAAGCTTAACGAGCCCTTTGAAGATGCTAACGGATCCCGACCTTTTCTGGCGCGAAGCATCGGATCAATGGGTCCAAACGGCGGAGGTACGATGAGATTCCGTGGATGATACGCAGCGAGTTTTACAGTTATGGTTATACGGGGAAACACCCCGTGCAGATATATGACTATGGCGCTTTTTTTCTTGAAGGTTTTCAGGTGAGACTATTATTGTTGCAATATCACACCTATGAACACTACATAAGCACATAGTGCTTAGATTGTTGTGAGGTCGTCTGTACAGTTATAGTAATATGAGTGTTCGGTTAACATAAAATTACTCGGAGGTTGAACAATTGTATCATCATCGTTGGACGGGTTGTACCCCGTTTCAGAATATCGTTATTTTGATTTGTAATTTTTCGATTCATAGAATGATAGTATAGTCCAGTAGAATTAGATTTTAAATCGGAAATAATTCCTACAAAAGATTTTATTGCTTTAATGGGTTCATTGGTTGCCCATTAAGACTCTCCTAGGTTTTCGACTTCGACGGAGTTGTGCTTAAGTGGTGGGGGCCCCCGAAAGGGGCGCTTTTTAGGTTTTCCGGTTATACCGCGTGAAAGACTTACCCTATCGAAAAGTGGTCTTCCTGACGGTTGAAGGGCATTTAATCTTGCATTAAATAAGACCAAATTCATATGTTTTGGACAAACCGTTCTCGTGCTAAATGTTCGGCAAAGTAGAAAATATGTGTATAATTAATGACCCTCTCCACGTCCAATAGCTCGTCACCCGTAGGCTCCCAAGCCTTGTAAAGGGTCGCCTTAACCAGCGTATCCCTGTCAAGGCTCACGAGTTGGATTCGCTTATCCTTGTTCGTCCCAGCCGTTCCTTAACTGCGGTTGCTGCACCTCTTCCTGGCACTCTCCTGAACGACTCTGTGTTACCTAATTAGGCTGCCTCTCTTCATTGTACCCTCCTGTATGATTGCATTGNCAGCTGATGCATGATCCTATCAAAAAAATACGATTAACGAACTTCAAGAAAGAAAAATTAGCTACTCAATTGAAAAATCAACATTCTATTGTTGTAAGAAATAAATTACTGAATTGTAATGTTACTGAAAACGAAACGCAAGAACCACCATTTGTTCTTGATTTGAAAACTTTACAAAATATAAAAAGCAGAACCAATTTCAAATACTTTCACAAAATTGTTGTACTTGCGTTATGGATTATGTCTCTTACACCGCCTTATGACAAAGTGGTACGAAATATTTCGCTACATCCATTTTTCGTTTATTACTGGACTGAAGCCCAACTTAAGTTTTATAGGACGTTTTCACGATCGAATTACACGTCAATTATTACGTTAATTTAACTATACTTTATTTGTACAAAAATCATTAAATGTAATTATGTGACGTATAACGTTACACGTTCACGAGCGTTCAGGTAGTAAAGGATGATACGACAGAACACTTACAGACGTCATAGTTTTGATTCGTTTAAAATTGAAACTGCTCCCAAAGGCAATGTATATGAATAAGTAGTGTCTTTGGGAAGTGTAATATTTGTATTATAAGTAGGTAGTTCTGAATAATAATGACAAGTATATTTTGTGAATGTCTCTGTAATACGAACCAGTTCAAATATAGATTTGGAACACAAGGGACGTCTCATTCCACCTACCTTATACAAGCCCTACACGGACACCGTACACTTTTGGCGAACGAGGTTGATAAAATCTACGCAAAACGATGTCTTTCGGGAAGATCAACGAGTTTAACGTGAGTGCGGGGAATTGGTCACTGTACGTCGAGCGTCTGGAGATGTACTTCAAGGTGAATAAAGTGGAAACGGAATTGTGGCTACCTACACTTATTACGGCGATCGGAGACGAAACGTACGAAGTGTTGAGCAGCTTAGCGAGTCCTAAGAAGCCAGCGGAGCTCACCTATAAATCGGCGGTCACAATGCTACAAGACCATTTGCAACCGAAACCCTCCGTTATGGCCGAACGATATCGTTGATGAAGCCACGATAGCCGAACGGTGAAGGGGTCGGACTGGCCGACTCGTGATCCGAGGAACGCGGGTTCGGTCCCCGCCGCCGCTCGACTATTGTGGTGAGCTCACAAGCATATTTAGCTTAGTACGAGGGGCTAACGGGAATATTAGTAATTTGTGTAATAACAAATTACTAATAATCTTTAAAAAAAAAAAATCGTTTTCGACAAAGANACAAAGAAGACAGCGGGAGGGCGAGTCAATTGCAACGTACATAACAGAATTGAAGAAATTGTCAAAATTGTGTGATTTTGGAGCCAACTTAGAAGACAGTTTACGTGACCAACTTGTTTGTGGGGTAGTCAGTGACGTCATACGGCAAAGACTGTTTGCGGAAGATAATTTGAACTATACGAGTGCAGTTAAGTTGGCGTGTGCGTTGGAAGCGGCGGAACGTAACGCGGCAGTAGTAGATGTGTCATCATCGGGAACTACGGGAAGCGCGGCCGCGGTACACGCAGTAGGGGCGAAGCGCGAGCGCGGGCGCGGGCAGCGCGCGCGTCCCTGGCAAGCCAACGGTTATAACAACTCGGAAAATTGCATAGTGTGCGGGAAAAATGGCCACAGCAGCGAGGAGTGTCGCTACAAGAAGTTCGTTTGCAGTAAATGTAAAAAAGTTGGACACCTGCGTAGGGTTTGTCCCAACTCAACCGGGGGCCCAGGCCCGGACCGGAGGCGGGTGAACCATGTCTCATGCCAAGACAACGGGTCAGATGAGGATTCCCGGTCGGAAGACTATGAAGAAATGTTAAACCAACTCAGTTTGAGCAGCTATAAACCGGTAAGCTTAGATCTTATCATTGATGGTGTTAAGTTAAAAATGGAAATTGATACCGGTTCCTCAGTTTCGTGCATAAGTAAAAAAACGTATGAAAAATATTTTAAGTTTAGAAATATTGAAAAAGATAATTTAATTTTTAAATTTTATGACGGTAGTTGTATTAAGCCGTTAGGTATAATTAAACCAAAAGTGCAATGGAATAACAAGTTTAAAACATTGGAATTATTTGTAATCGATGGGGGAACTACTTCTTTACTTGGTAGACATTGGCTGACTGAATTAGGAATTAAAATTCCACCTTTTTATAATAATTCTATTAACATTGTAAAAGAGATTTGTAAAGAAAACAAGTGTGCTAATTTGGAAATGTTAATCGACAGGCATAAGGAATTGTTCAGCGGCGGGCTGGGGCGGTTCACGGGAGGCCAGGCGCGGCTGCGGGTGCGCGAGGGGGCGGCGCCCGTGTTCCACCGCGCGCGCCCTCTGCCCTACGCGCTCAAGGCGCAGGTGGACGCGGAGCTGGACTGCATGCTGCGCGACGGCATCATAGAACCGGTCGAGGTTTCCGACTGGGCTACGCCATTGGTACCGGTACGTAAAGCGGATGGTGGCCTACGCATTTGTGCGGATTACAAGGTTACGTTGAACCCTGTCCTGCTGGTCGATAGGTACCCTCTACCTAAAATTGAAGATTTGATGGTTAGTCTCAACGGGGCTCAGTTATTTTCTAAAATAGACTTATCGCAAGCATATAATCAGGTGGAGCTAGATGATACAAAAATGTACACTGTTATAAATACACACCGGGGATTATTTAAATATAATAGGTTAGTATTTGGACTTTCATCTAGTCCGGGGATATTTCAACGAATAATGTCTACTATTTTGAGTGATATACCGGGGGTAGAGGTGTTCTTAGACGATGTTATTATTGCCACTAAAGGGGACCGTTTGGTACATCTGGCTACATTAGAAAAGGTATTGAGTAGGCTCTCGAGTCATGGAATGAAACTTAAGAAAAGTAAATGTTCATTTTTAGTTGATGAAGTAAAATATTTAGGATACATTATTTCCAAGGACGGAGTGAAAGTAGATCAGGAAAAAGTGGCAGCTATTGTCAAAATTCCAAGACCCGAAGATATTTCCCAGCTGAGATCATTCCTAGGACTAGTTAATTTTTATGCTAAATTTGTGAAAAATATTAGTACTATTTTATTTCCACTATATAATTTACTTAAAAAAAGCGTAACATGGAAATGGTCTAAAGACTGTGAAATGGCTTTTATTAAAATTAAAAAGATTTTGACAAGTGCAGAGGTTTTAGCTCACTACGACGCCGATAAACCCTTAACTTTGACTTGTGATGCGAGCTCGAAGGGCATCGGAGGGGTTCTTACCCAGAGAGCGCGGGGGGGCGCGGAGCGGCCGGTCGTGTATGTGTCTCGCGCGCTCACAGAGGCGGAAAAACATTACTCGCAGATCGATCGCGAAGCTTTAGCTATCGTATTTTGTTTACAAAAATTACACCAATACTTATATGGTAGACGTTTTACTCTGCGAACTGATCATAAACCGTTAGTCAGCATTTTTGGGCCTAAACACGGAATACCGGCATTGGCCGCAAGTAGAATGCAGCGATGGGCGGTTATTCTATCGGCATATAGTTATGATATAGAATACATAAATACAAAACTAAACGGAGCGGACGGTCTGTCGCGGCTACCTGTGCGCTCTGCTGATAAGAATGACTCATCGTTAGACCCGCCCGAGCAAACTTATTTACACTTCGCACAGGACGCGTTGTTACTCGATTCTAACGATATTAAAAAGCAGACTTTGCGGGATCCGTCATTAAGTAGAATATTGTTATTCATTAGAGAGGGGTGGCCTACGGAAAATGAAATTAAAGCATTACAACCGTATTTTAATAGAAAAACCGAATTGTATGAAGAATTAGGATGTATTATGTGGGGTCATAGAATTGTAATACCCGAGAAATGTAGGAGTCAGGTGCTTAATGAACTTCATGAATCCCATATGGGTATTTGTAAGACTAAGGCCATGGCACGCAGCTATGTGTGGTGGCCTGGCATCGACGAGGCTGTGGAAGCGTTGTGTCGCAGCTGTGAGGTATGTGCAGCGGAGGCTGACGCGCCGCCCCGTCATGCTGTCACGCCGTGGCCATGGCCGGCGAAGCCTTGGTCGCGAATTCATGTAGACTTTTTGGGCCCTTTTCATGATAAGATTTACTTGGTTGTAATTGATGCTCGAACTAAATGGATTGAAGTTTTTCCGGTGCCAAGCACAGCAGCTCGTTATACGATAAGTAAACTAGAGGATTTGTTTGCTAGGTGGGGATTACCTAGGCAGCTAGTCAGTGATAACGGGCCTCCGTTCACAAGTTCTGATTTTTCATTTTTTATGCAGAACAATGGCATTGAACACATATTTTCAGCTCCCTACCACCCTGCTTCGAATGGGGCGGCGGAGAATGCAGTTCGAACAATTAAAAAAGACATAAAGAAAGCCATTCGTAAAAAAGAAGATATCCAAAAGTTTTTAAATACGTTTTTACTTCACTATCGAAACACAGAACATTGTACTACAGGCGAAAGTCCAGCCACGTTAATGTTAGGAAGACAGTTAAGAATCAAACTAGATTTACTCAGGCCGGATAGAGGTAAAAAAGTTAGGGATGCGCAGGCTAGGCAAATAAAAATTGGAACAGAGGTAAGCAGAGTTTTAGAACCAGGAGAAGAAGTCTGGATCCGCCAATACCAGGGGGGAAACAAGTGGATACCGGGTAAGGTAGCTGAAAGATTAGGAACAACTGATTATAAGATATTAGATACTTCAGGTAGAGGGTCCCACAGACATATTGACCAGTTAAGACGGAGATCTTTGCGTAGCTCGCTTGTAGCCCCACCGCTCGAAATCGAGGAACCAACCACAGCGGCTCAAGTAGCGGTACCAATGTGCGAGGATCAGGTGCAGTCCGGCACCCGCCCATCTGTAGCTGACAATCCTTTGGACAGTAATATTTCTGTCGATGTGGACAAGGACTCTGATACCTTCTGCGATGCGAGCTCCTCTCCCGCGCCCGCAACCGATAAGCCCGCCACTCCTCCCCGATCTAGGCCAATACGAAAGTGTAGAATTGATAACCCACCNTTGGAAAATAACTGAAAAAGAAGTGAAAAAAGTCATGTTTTTTTCTAATTAAATCCATTCTTACTCCCTTAAAATGTATGAAACTTGTATCTGTTTTCTACTTCTGCTAATAGATAATTTTATTGGCTGTCGCATGATATAAAATTTTTGCTTATTAGTGTTAAGCTACCCACGCTTTCACTTGTTTTTGAAGGAAAAGGTGAAAACTAAAAATTAAAAACTTAAATCCTCGTAATTTTGCGAGAAATGGGTCAAGCCCCAAATTTGAAGTATTTTCATCGTACACACTGTATACAGTGTGTCCGGGCTTGTAGTGATCAAACTTTAAGGGCGTAATCTATGGACAATTTTATCGATGAAAATACTTCAAATTTGGGGCTTGACCCATTTGTCGCAAAATTAAGAGGATTTAAGTTTTTAATTTTTAGTTTTCACCTCTTCCTTCAAAAATAAGTAAAAACGTGGGTAACTTAACACTAATAAGCGAATATTTGATATCATGCGATAGTCAATAAAATTATCTATTAGTAGAAGTAGAAAACGGCCACAAGTTTCATACATTTTATGGAAGTAAGAATGGATTGAATTAGAAAAAGACATGATTTTTTTCACTTCTTTTTCAGTTATTTTCCAACACAAGAAAAACCAGGTCGTTAAGGTATGTTTTATTTGCATTGTATTATTAGTATTTGAGCTATTCTACAAAACGAATGTAAATTTATTAGTCTAAATCTATTAGTTTCGACGTAATTGTTGAACAAAGATACCCCTTCCCAGTCCCAGCGTATTAAAAGTTGGTAAGAAACTCCCATAATACACTATCTGGATTTTTAAAATATTTCCTATTAAATTCATTTCTAACATTTAGTAGGTAGTCTTCTTCTTTTCTTTGGTAATGACGTACTTTACGTAAGATGCATTTACACGGAAAGTTGAGAGAAAATTGTTTACTAGTCAGGACTTGGTTATTTATTATATTATACTTTCAGCGACATCTGTCGTTAGTGAGCTTAATTATTAAATATTAAACTTCGATCAGTCTGTAATTCAATAATGATTTAATTTATGTTCAAAATAAACAAATAAATTAAGTTTATTTTTTATTTTTATGCTACTTACGTATAAAATATCTAGTCAATCAGGCTGTATGGATGAAACGCCTATATTAAAATTAGTTTAAATAAGTAGATAAATAATATTGTGGGTAGGTGGAAATAACTATGACTTTTATGGTGTTTTAACTGCTTAATTGTTTATTTATATTTGTCAACGTGTTTTGTGTAAATCTTTTGATTAAAAATACTAAATCCCAAATATGAGCGATTGTGAGATAGTCAAGTCTAAACGTGGAAAGGATATACAGGATGTTTCAAAATACCCCCTAAAGCCTGAAAGGGCACAGAAACTGAAACAATCTGAAATAGAAGCCGTTGTTCCTATTGTCATATCTTGAACGGTTTTGGAAATAACGTACTATCGGGGACTCTTCCGCCTGACCACTTTGTAGAAATTTTAGCGTAAACGCATCGCTCCGGTCACGTGCTCACCCCGTCTTTGGTTACGCATTTTACTATATTTTTACTACGACCAATAAGAGACAATCAGGGCTTAGGTTGCAATACGAAATACCATTGTGCACTTTATTGTCATACAGTTAGGGTTTAAAACGAAATGTTTCTTTTTCTTCAATCTTTCTTAGTTTTAGGCTGAGTTGCACCACCTAACTTTGACCGTAGCTATAANTTTATTTATTTTTATTATTATTTTAGCTACACTTATGGCGTCCATAGCACATAATAATACTGCTGAGCATAGGCCTCCAATGATTTCGAGATTAACTGATTGCCATTGCTACAACCACTATAAGCTCATCTCACCTTCTTCACCTTGTAGGTGGACGTCTTAACAACAATAGCTTGGATAAGTGATACAGCTCGGTAGAGTCATCTAAAATACCTTAGTGCCATAAGATGAAAGTCTACATCCAGTGTGTCAGTGATGACAAATTGTACTGAAAAGCGGCCTCTCACTGTAGGCTTACGAACCACAAAGTTGCATAGTGTACACTGGAGTGGACTATGCTTGTTTTTTTATGCAATCGAATCTCAATCAAAAAAATCAAAATCAAAAAATATTTATTCAGTTTAGACCACAAGTGGCACTTATGAACGTCAATAGAAAATAATAAAAAAAGAAAAAGGTAGCCCTTATGGGGCACTTTACATGTCTCCTTATCTTTTGGGCCCTACCAGCGCTTCGAGACAAACATATGGCAAGTGCTGAGAAGAAACGCCGGAACAATCTGTAATGAGGAGTCCCGTAAACGATCTAAAGTCGCANCACTTTACATTGCTTAGCCATATGCCTGGTCCAAGGTTCGACGCCACAAAATCAACTTCCTACGCGTGAAAATAGTTTAAATACTATTTTCCGTGCTTGCAACATTTTTCTTTACTGCTTCGCCTCTATTAGTCATAGAGTGATTGTATATATCCTATAGCCTTCCTCAATTTATAAGCTATTCAACACAAAAATAATTATTTCAATCAAACTAGTAATTCTTGAGATTAGCGCGTTCAAACAAACAAACAAAAAACTCTTCAGCGTTTTAATATGAACTTGTTGTTGTTGATTTTTGGCGTCGAACCTTAGACCAGGCATACTGCTAGGAAACGTAGTCGTGCAGGAGGATACAAGGAAGAGGTACAGCCACAGTAGGTAACACAGAGTCGTTCAGGTGAGTGCCAGGAAGAGGTGCAGCAACCGCAGTTAAGGAACGGCTGGGACGAACAAGGATAGGTGCATCCAGCTCGTAAGCCTTGATAGGGTCACACTAGTTGAGGCGCTCCTTTTCAAGACTTGGAAGCCTGCGGGTAACGAGCCATTGGACGTGGAGAGGGTCATTAATTATACACATATTTTCTACTTTGCCAAACATTTGCACGAGAACGGTTTGTTCAAAACATATGAATTTGGTCTTATTTAATGCAGGATTAAATGCCCTTCAACCGTCAGAAAGACTACTTTTCGATAGGGTAAGTAAGTCCTTTACGCGGTATAACCGGAAAACCGAAAAAGCGCCCCTTTCGAGGGCCCCCACCACTTAAGCACAACTCCGTCGAAGTCGAAAACCTAGGAGAATCTTTATGGGCAACTAATGAAGCCATTAAAACACTAAAATCTTTAGTAGGAATTATTTCTGTCTGGAAGAGATCGCTTCATAGCGATAAGACCGCCTAATTGTACCTTATGTGTTCCTTTTCTTTCTGTTTCTTTTTACAATGTGGTGTGCAATAAAGAGTATTTATTATTATTATTATTATTATTTCCGATTTAATTCATTTTTGTGTTTAATTCTACTGGCCTAGTAGAACACCTTTCGATTCTTAGTTATCTTGAGTTGACGGGTGTGACTTACATTATAAAATATGTGTGTTATATCTATCTATATGGAGTAGGATTTATTAAACGGTTTCATTGTGTACCTAAGTGGTTAATCACAGTACCTATTATTTTCTTATTCGTATCGTGCATTAATCTTAGGCAGAACATCTAGGAGAAATAAATGGTGTGATTCTGTTATCTCTGCAATGGATAAAGTAATCGTGTCACCCGTTTGACTCCAAAAGGGTCATTGACGAGACGATCGCGGCTGCTCGGCTTCGACTTGGGTGACGATCTGAATATCCATTCTCATCCCTGTTCCCTTTTTGAGGGGTTTCAAGCACTTCCAGATGTTTTTGATGTCAAAGACTCGAACTCGCGGTGAAACTTTACAAATCCACAATTACATTTGAAATGTGCCCGAAGCTCGTAAAAATATGTTTTGCTTACTTAGTCTTAAATAATGAGATACATGATAACTTTATAATATTTTTTAACGTCAAGCCGTGAGTAGGTACATAATGTAACTCATAAAAATGTCGCGTTGAGACCCGTGTTTTCTCTATTTTATTTTAAATAATAACTTTTTGTTTGGTTCAAACTAGTGGAGCATAATATCTAAAAGCAGCTGTCAAAAATATACAAATACAGTTTCTATTGAAAGTTATCATTAGAAAACAAAATGAAACAACAATAAGTTATAATGTCAAAGCTTTTGATTGTGTCCACTGCCTCGTTATCTGAACTCGAACTCGAATCTGATTTATTCGAAGCCAACTTAATGTGACTTCAAAGGCTTATTTTGTTAAATTTGCACGCCACAATAGCACTTTGTGTCTGATGTCAGTTTTGTTAAATATACGGGTTTATGATTTTGACATTCTGCTTGATCGAGCGAACCTTAACGACTGATGCCCAACAATAGTTATTTATTGGATTTTCATAGTAAAGGTTCAATATTTATGTATTACCTACTATGTCAGCACACACATTGCTTTAGATACTAGCGCTACCTATTCGATAATAATCTAAAAAGTATCCATAAAGTTTCATTACCCACAGTAACTATTTATTCACTAAGATATTTTTTGTGTCTACCTACCTGATGTAGCTACTATAGTCAGCGTCAATAATTCGTGACACCCAAAGTGGCCAAAGAGTTGATATCACAACCTAATTCCAGTAAACAAAGATGTGTTTCGAACTTATTGGCTAATTGGGTGTCACAACTATTTGACGCTGACTGTATAAAATTTACCTACCATTCAATAAACGATTGTTTAAAAGTTGCTGTTCATGGCACCATATTCGCAACTTTCTGCCAAGAATAACCAACAAAGGAATAAAAGCAGTATTCAAAGAAACCAAATGCTTCTTGAAGCAATCCATTGTTGCAAACAATAACTCATCGGCAGGTTCCCACGGCGGTCATGTGTCACAATCGCTATTTAATTGCCGGCGGTCGGGAATACACGTAATTTATGGAGGGACCGAATTGATTCATCGATGCAAATCTGTGTGTTCGGAAATAATTCAGTTTGGGAATGGGTGGGTTCACTGGTAAGGAAGAGGGGTGTTTGTCAAGGGAACGTTGCAACTATTTGGATAAAATTCCAGTTGGATGTATGTAT